TGATTTTTGTATGTTGATTTTGTATCCTGCATCTTTACCATATTTGTTTATTAATTCTAAAAGTTTTTGGTGGATTCTTTAGGATTTTCTATATATAAAATCATGTCTTCTGCAAATAGCGAGAGTTTCACTTCTTCTTTTCCCATTTGGATCCCTTTTATTTTCTTTTCCTGCCTGATTGCTCTGGCTAGGACTTCCAACACTATATTAAATAGGAGTGGTGAGAATGGGCCTCCTTGTCTGGTTCCTGTTCTTAGAGGGATAGTTTTCAGTTTTTCACCATTGAGTATGATATTAGCTGTGGGTTTGTCATATGCAGCCTTTATTATGTCAAAGTACTTTCCTTCTATACCCATTTTATTCAGAGTTTTTATCATAAATGGATGCTGTATCCTGTCAAATGCTTTCTTTGCATCTATTGAGACTATCATGTGATTCTTATTCTTCATTTTATTAATGTGGTGTATCATGTTGATTGATTTGGGAATGTTGAACCATCCCTGCATCCCTGGAATAAATCCCACTTGATCATGGTGTATAATCTTTTTAATGTATTGTTGTATGCAATTTTCTAGTATTTTTGCTAGTATTTTTTTTTTTGTGAGGGAGATCAGCCCTGAGCTAACATCAGTGCTAATCCTCCTCTTTTTGCTGAAGAAGACCAGCTCTGAGCTAACATCTATTGCCAATCCTCCTCCATTTTTTTTCTTGACCAAAGCCCTGGTAGGTAGTTGTATGTCATAGTTGCACATCCTTCTAGTTGCTGTATGTGGGACACAGCCTCAGCATAGCCGGAGAAGCGGTGCATCGGTGCGCGCCCTGGATCCGAACCCGGGCCGCCAGTAGCGGAGCACGCGCACTTAACCGCTAAGCCACTGGGCTGGCCTGAAATTTGCTAGTATTTTGTTGAGGATTTTTGCATCAGTGTTCATCAGTGATGTTGGCCAGTAATTTTCTTTTTTTGTGTTGTCCTTGTCTGGTTTTGGTATCAGGGTAATATCAGCTTCATAGAATGAGTTAGGAAACTCCCCACCTCCTCAATTTTTTGGAAGAGTTTGAGAAGGATAGGTATTAAGTCTTCTTTGAATGTTTGGTAGAATTCAC